AAATTTGGTTGAATGAGTCAATAAATAATCCCGAATTTAGTTTTCAGAATAGAACCACATTTAGAAAAGATCGTGATAGATTAATAACTAATAAAACCCAAGGAGGAGGGGTATTATTGCTCTTGAGAGACACTTTCATAGTCTCGGAAGTTAGGATTTTTGATGAGGATCAGGAAGCATTGTGTGTAAAGATAAAGATAAATGCTGTGTCTTTTCTTATTGTGGTAGTGGCTTACTTTGTCCCCGAGAGCCCAAGTGATGTTTATGAGAAATTTTTTGAAAAGATGGAGCATCTTCTTGATGGTAATAATTCGGAATTTATCATAGTTGGTGACTTTAACATTCCCAGCTATGTTAACACTTTATCATGTAACAATAATTTAAACCTGTTAAAATCATTTTTGTCCTTTAATAACCTCATACAGTTGAATCATATACGGAATCATAATAACGTTATTCTAGATCTTGTAATTGCCTCTTTTGAGAATGTACAGGTTGACAGAACAGAGGATTCTCTATTGCCAGTTGATAAACATCATCCTTGCCTGAGTATCTGTTTGGAAACTAGGTCCCCTGTCGAACACTGTAAAGTCGTATCAACAACTAAATTTAATTTCAAAAAGGCTGATTTTCATTTAATGTATAGATTATTCGAAAACCAAAACTGGGCTTGGATAGTATTGCTGATGTCAATTTGGCCATTGATTCTTTCTACAATATTCTTAATAATATATTTCAGCAGAGTGTACCAAAATCTACACAAATAGACAAGAAATATCCTGTTTGGTTTAATGGAGAAATCATTAAACTGATTAAGCAAAAACATAAATATTTTCTAAAATCTAAAAAGAATAAATCTAATTTTTGGCGTCAAAAATATATTACACTTAGAAGTACAGTAAAATACAGGATCAGGCTGGCTTATAGCAATTATCTCCAGGAGGTTCAATCGGGCTTACAGAGTAATCCTAAGTTGTTTTGGTCATACCTAAAAGGACTCAAGGACTCGCCAGATATTCTTCAGGAAATGATAAATAATGATAAAACCTATGTGGGCTCTCAGCGGGTGGCAGATGGCTTTGCTGATTTCTTCAAATCTGTTTATATAAATGACAATGATGTTTCATGTTCCTCTAGTGCCCCAAGATCTTTCTTTTGTGAGAAGTCTATCTCGACAGATGATATAGACATGGCAATCAAAAGGCTCAAGGGAAACAAGGCAATTGGTTCAGATGGAATACCAGCCTATATTCTAAAGGGCTATAGCCAACATCTATTGAAACCCCTGCAAGTTGTATTCAATCTAATTATAAAAACATCAAATTATCCAGAAAAATGGAAAATAGGCAAAGTCATTCCGATTTTTAAATCTGGTGTTAGACAAGATATTAAAAACTACCGCCCCATATCTATTCTGAGTTCAGTTTCCAAGGTATTTGAAATGATTATATTTGAATTGTTATTTAGTGAAATTTCTGGAAAAATTACCTCCTGTCAGCATGGTTTCTTCCCTCATAGGTCAACATTCACCAACTTGGCCACATTTAGTCAATATGTGCATGAAGCCATAAATAATAAATCGCAGGTTGACGTTATTTACACGGACATGGAGAAGGCATTTGACAGGGTCAGACACTGCGTAATAATTAAGTCTCGCCAGAATATGGACGTGCCTTTGTATTTGATTGGGCTAACTCAGTCATATCTTAGTAACAGGTTTCAATATGTTGAAGTTAAGGGTTGCAAATCACGGATCTTTAAAAGCACCTCTGGTGTGCCACAGGGTTCTAATTTGGGCCCTCTCCTCTTCTTGGCAACAATAAATAATATTGTTGGAAACCTGGAAAATGCTGTGGCCCTCATGTTCGCCGATGATTTCAAATGTTTTTTCCAGATTAATTCCGTTGAAGACTGTCTGCAACTGCAGAATGATTTTTGTAGTGTGACTAATTGGTGCGAAAATAATAGCTTTAAAATGAATATTGCAAAATGTACCTGTATGTCCTTTACCCTTAACCACAATGCTATAAATTATGACTATAAATTAAATGGTACTAATCTCAAACGAGTTGGCCAACAGAGAGATCTTGGAGTGGTGTTTGATTCTAACTTGTCGTTCTCTGGTCATATGGCATCTAAAATTGAAAGTGCACAGAGGGTGGCAGGATTTATCTCGAGAAACACAAAAAACTTTAGAATGGAGGTGAGTCTACATCTTTTTGATAGTTTGGTGGTTCCCATTTTGGAATATGCAAGCATAATTTGGTCTCCGCAATACAATGTGTGGGTTACATTAATAGAAAGGGTACAACGAAATTTCCTCAAATGCATGTATTTTCGAAAATTTGGTATTTATCCGCAAAGAGGTTGTGATCAGGGCTACCTACTGAGCATTTTTGATAGGCTTTCCTTGAGCAAAAGAAGGGATAGGGTGATTTTGTGCACAATGTTCAATATTTTGAGGGGAACAATTGATTGTCCAGAAATGCTTGCCCAGTTACCATTTGCAATAAATCGATTCAACTCGCGAAATCAGAATGTTTTTTATTTGGCATATCCTCGTACTAATCTGTACAAAAATTCTCCCATATATAAAATGTGTCAGGTTTTTAATTTGTATGCTTTCGATATTGATATTGACACAATAAATATCAAAGCTTTTAAGAAAATTATTGATGAAAAGCTTCGAATGTGAGTATTGTTTTCGTTTGTTTTTTTTTGACTTTTTTACTTTATTATATTGTGAATCTTTTGATTAGAATTAGATTTAAAGTTTACTTATAATAGATGTAAGTTTGTATCTATGATTGGCCTCTTGGCTGTTGATACTTGATGAATAAATAAAATAAAATAAATAAATAAACATAAACAATGCCGCTAATGCGGCCAATTGGTCGCAAAATGCCATTTGCACGACATGCATTGTAAAACTGATGTCAATCAAGGCCAAACATAAACTTTTCAAAGTTTTCAATGTCAAAATCTATCTTGGGATAAAATAGACTGTAGTGAAATGGTCAAGAAAAAATTAAAAGAATATTTGTGATTTGATTTCAATAAAAGAATTACTTACGTTTTTTTTTTGTACCTAGAGTGTTTTTACTTGATATAGGTATAATATTCACTGAAAGAAGTTCCAAATAAAATACTTTAAATTAGGAGAAATCCCGCGCAATCCCGAGAAAACCTGAACAATCACGAGAAATCCTGCGCAGTCACGCGAAATCCTAGGCAAATTCGAGAAATCCCGCGAAATCTTGTACAATTCTGCGAAATCCCGTGCAATCATTACGAAATTTTGCGAAATCCCTAATTTTGCCCAATACTGTCACATTTTCACCCTAGTGGTTTACCCCTCGGATAATTCAGTTGGCTTGAAATTAATAAAGTTGTGATGTGTGCAAAATCACAGAGTGTGTATCAAAGTAATTTTGAAAAACCATTGAGACTATTGAGAGAAGCCTTATTTTGATTTTAAGGATAATTAGAAGGATAATTGGATCGAAATTGTGAAAGTGGAGGGAGAAATGTTTGAAATTTAAGGAAAATATGAGGAAAACTCTAGAGCCTGAAATAAATCAAAAATTAATAAACGTCAATTTATTTTTATCATTGAATATGATTCATGTCATAGTCATTGTATGATGTAATGTACCTAGGTATAGTTTTAGAAATTGAAAATATATGAAATAACTCTTATAGTTATTTATACACTAAATGAGTTAAATGAATGTTTATTCATGAGAAAAAAGTTTAACCCACGAGCCCTAGCAAGTGGGTTAATTTTCTTCTCATGAATAAACATTTTAACTCATAATATGATGTAGGTATATAAAATTTTATCCCATTTTGTGGAAATCTGAAAAATAAAGTACAAGGAAAAATGCCAGGAGTGAGTTAAAAATATTTTAAATCACCAAAGTTTCAAATTTCTAGTAGAGCAGAGTGAAGAGTGACTTAAAATGCCAAGAGTGAGTTAAAATGTTTTTAAATCACTGAGATGATAAACGTCTACTTACCTTTAATTGTTATGCGTTCAATAATGTCATTTTTAAACCTCAAAATGGGATAAAATAATTTAGCTACTTCTGCACAATCTACCCTAAACTTTTAACATTGCAAAAGTGGTTTTTCAATAAAAAAAAAATGAAAAATAAATAAACCGGCACGTGAGGCAACAATAATTTATTTGTAGCTGAAATTTGAGTATCTCAGCTCTCATTCATCCCTTCATAACCTCAAAACACCATATTTCGACCCAACAAAAAATTAAATTGCTGAAACAACTTTACCTAAACTAAAAATAACAAATTATCTATGAAATTAGAAAGGCAAAAGCAAATAGGGACACGTAGCGAAAACCGTAGCGCCGATAAATGATAATAATAAATTTATTAATAAAGTACGCCTGTAGTACTCATATAATTCATTCAACAAAAACAATTCAAAAAAAATTATCAATCAACCCCCATTCAATTCATAAAAATATTTCCTTTTGGTACTAAAAGCGCCCTCTATTTACTATAAACAACGAAAACAATAATCGTAGTGCCACAGCCCCCCACTGCCTCTAAAAAAGGGGCACCCAACAGGCAACAGCCAGCACTCTTCTACGATTCTACGAAAACTCGTAGCCAAGGTACGACTTGAGTCTTGAGTTCATCACAAAAATAAATTTAGAATGCCATAACCTTATTTTCTAAATTCTAAATCTAATTCTAATTATTTTATTAATCGGCAAAGCTATTTAGGTAAAATGGTGAAAAACTAGCAACAATGTTGAGATGACCTGACCTGTTAGCAAAAATACCAAAGCGAATTTCCTCCTATAACAATTGACAACTCACTGATTTTCGAGCACGAAATACACCATCAAACACGCAACAAAAGCCGAATTTTTCACTAGATTCGCTTAAATCGACATTCAAACAAACGAAATCCACGAAAATAACCGAAATTAAAACCTAAAAAAGCCCTTTAAAAAAGGTTTTTCTACTTACCCCGAATCAACACACAAAACACCCAACAACGCCACCTATGATGCTTCTGCTGTTCACTTCATATACAACAGCAACACGAAGGCACGTACTCCATCAAATTCGAAAGCCGAACTACTCGGCCCGAATCTAGCCGAACCTAACGAGCTAGACTTTTTGATTTTTGATTGAGGAAATAAAGCTTGAATTTTAGCTTAAAATCAGTTTTGGAAATTGGATTTTGGTAGGCAAAAGACTGATTTGACCGAATATGAGAAAATGTTTGAGAATTTCATAGGTTTTTCCGAAGAAATCGAACAAAGCTTTTCAGTAAACAGCACGCGGTGACTCAACCATTTATGTATTTTAAATGTCGTCAAGTTTTATTACGTTTTTCATAGCATAGCATAGGGACGGCGTATTATAATGTGCGGGTTCTTTTAGCCAGGAAATTTTTGTAGTAGTTTATGAATTCGACGCTAGAGGCACCGTTATTTCTCGAAATAAATTCTCCTCCTCGTTTCCTCCACACGGACACGAGGCTCTCTTGCTTCGCTTTTAGCTTGAAACGTGTTTGTTAATTAATTTTCCAGGCGTTTTATTTATTGAAAAGGTTCAAGGTCTACGATTGGCTCTTTATGTTTAATTATTTATTAGCTCGATTATATAATGAATTTTGAATGGAAAATATTCAAACAAAAAAGTTTATAGAATCCCTTCTTTTTAGACAAGAAAATTACGTAAAAAAAGGTTAACCAAAGTTCCAATTTTTGTTTTGTTTGGCTGTTTCCGGTGTTTCTTCCAAAATATTGAAATTAAGAATATCCAAAATAAGATTATTACCTATAGATAGAATTGCATTTTTTAGACATTGGTAGGTATTCCCCAAGATATTTTAGGTAGGTACCTACCTACTTCTTTTCTTAATCAAAATCTGATTTATCCAAATCAAAAAATTTGATTCTTAAAATAGAAAAAGAATATTTTAAATCTAGGAATTAAAATTATAGACAAAAATATATTCACAGAATTACTACAAAGGTATTTTTACTTGAATATTTGGAATCTAAACTAAGTACAGGATTTTCTACCTGCTTTTATTTTAAACAGACAGACAATACACAGGTCTGCATTGCGTCTGGTAGCGCTTCAGAATAATTTGGAAACTTCAAAACAATTTTAGAATGCTCCAAAAAATTCAAAAACCGATTTAGAATTATTTCCAAAAACATTTTAGAAGAATTCAAAAATTTGAAACACTTTTTAGGAGGCTCCAAAGCACTGAAACACTCTAGAATCTCCAGAAACATTTTGAAAAGCGCCAGAATCTTTAGGATTTAAGTTAAAAGTTATAAAACGCCTTAAATTGCTGTAGAACTTTAAACCTTCCAAAACAGTTCAAATCCAAATTAGAATTTTCAGGGCATTTTGGAACAATTCAGAAACTTCATAGTTATTTTGGAATAATTAGAGGATTCTATATGTTACTGGAAGCCTGCTTTTAGAACTCTTTTGAACCAATTTAAAACACTTTGGATCTTCAATATAGGGCTCTAAAATAATTCTTAAAAAATCTGTCAGAACAATTTAAAAATTACTGAAAAACTTCTAAAATGCTCCATAACTCTTCAAGCCAAATTAGAACACTTTAGAACTTCAATAAGCCATTTAGAACGTTCCAAAATACTTTCCAACGGCATTTTTTCAGGATTTATTGAGTAGCTCTATTTGATAAAAAGACATCAAATAGAGCAATTCGCGAAATTTCTATTATATCACTTTTGGAAGCTTCTGAAAAATATTTCAAACAATCAGAGAGACTTCAAACTTTCAGGATTCATTCAGTAGACTCTTTATATCAAATAAAACAAACTTCGAGAGTATCTCAGGCTTAGAAATGGAATTATAATTTTTTTCTCACTTAGACGTAACAAAATCATACAAAATTTTTATTAAATTACCTTTGGAAGCTTCTGAAAAATCCTTCGAACAATCAGAGAGACTTCAAACTTTCAAGGTTTACTGAGTAGGGTCTTCTCATCAAACAAAACAAACCGCGAATGTATCTCAGGCTCAGCAATGGAATTATAATTATTTTTCTCACTTAGATGCAGCATGTGAAATAGAAAAATCAGGGCCTGGATTCCGAACTCACAATTCATACGACTCAATAGTATCATTCGGGGGGCGGTTAACTCTGTTAAATCCGTGTACAAATGGACTTAAATCACTTTAAATCCCTTATTAAATCACATAAATCATCTTGTTTAGCTCTAAATCAGATTAAATGAGGTTAAATCTCTTCAAATCTCTTTAAATCCCTTCAAATCTCTTTAAATTCCTCTCAAATCTTTTTAAATCAATTAAATCCCTAAAAATCTGAGATCTGGAACACTTTAAATCTCTAAATAAATTTCCTTAAATCACCTTAGTTTTTTCAAAAATCATATCAAATCACCTTAAATCAGGTCAGATCAATTTAAATTATCTTAAATCTCTTACAATCTCTTTAAATCTTTTTAAATCTAGTTAAATCTGTTTAAATCCATTTAAATCTTTCTATATCTTGTTAAGTCTTTCTATATCTCGATACATCTCCTTAAATCCTTTTAAATCTTCATAAATCTTCATAAATCTCCATAAATCATTTCAAATCGATAAAAAAAATGGTTTAAAATCCCGCGCAAACTTTGGGCGACTCCAACTCGACCAACCTCGAGGTGCAATCGCATATTAGCTGAGTCAATCTGGGGGGTCAGGGTGCAACAAATTAGCAACAAGCTGATTCCAGCGGGAATGTTTAGTAAGTGACCTCTTGTTTAACCTCCCAAAAGTCCCATTCAGTCCTAGAGGTGGGAGGTTGAAAAAAATGGCCGCCATCTTGGATTTTGTTGTTTTTTTCAAATATCTCAGTTTGTATTAGTTTCTCAAGAAACCTTTTTTGTGGAGAATTTAACTCTCTATAAAAAGTGTTTATACCTTTTTTTTTTTGAAAATAAAGGATAACGGAGATACAGAGCTTTTTATGGTAAATATTTCAAACATTTCATTACTTTTATCCCTTTCGAAATGTTTAGAAGAAGTCTAAGGCTAAATAGAGAACGAAAACGATTTCCCCTATTCCACCTCCAGCAAAAAACGCTGGAAATGCTAGAAGTGGAACAGAGGAAATCGTTTTCGTTCTCTATTCAACTTTTTAGACTTTCTTTAGACATTTCATCCTATCGCATTAAAATTGATACCTACAGGGGCGCCCGCAGAAAAATATGTAGGGGGGGGGTCAAAATCAATTGAATAAATTTTTTATGCGTAAAAAAGGGCACTTAAGTCTAAATTATCATTTTAGAAGCAGAATCAGAATTTTAAATGCAACATTTGCAAAGCAAAAGTTAAAAAAAAGGCAGTTTGAAGAGACACAAACTAACACACTTGGACGAGAAAAATTTTAAATGCAACATATGCAATGCAAAATTTAGAGAAAAATTTATATAAGGAAAATTTAAACAAAAAGGTAATTTGAGGAGTCACATATCAACAGACTTCGATAGTTATCTTTTTGAATGTGACATTTGCAAAGCAAAATTCAAAGGTAAAGACTGTTTAAAGAGACACAAACTAACATAGTCTGATATTTATCCTTTTAAATGTGACACATGCAATGCAAAATTTGAACACAAACGTAGCCACATATTAACACACTCGGATGAGGAATTTCAAATGTAACATTTGCAATGCAAAATTGAAAAGAGAAGGCGATTTGAAGGAACACATATTGATACACTTGGATATTTAATTTTTTTGAATGGGACATTTGCAAATTAAAATTTAAGCGGAAACGCGATTTGAAGATACACAAACTAAAACATTGGGTTATTTATCCATTTGAATGTGACACTTGCAAGGCAAAATTTGAAGAAAAGTAATTTACAAAGGCACATTTCAACACACTCGGATATTTATCCTTTTGAATGTTACACTTCAAATTCAAATTCAAATTCAAATTCATTTATTCCAGGTGTATAGTACAGTAAATTACATAGTATTTTTACCCTGCAAGAGACAAGAAGTCTGTGCACAGGCCCGGTACTTAAAATTAAAGATCCTTGCAAATCAAAATTTAAATGGAAAGCCGATTTAAAGATTCACAAACTAACACATTCGGATATTTATCCATTTGAATGTGACACTTGCAATGCAAAATTTAAGCAAAAACATAATTTGAAAAGCCACATGTTAACACACAGATTGTTTATTATTTGATTCACTTAATAGTGACATGTGTTTAGCTCCGGGATCCTTGAACTCAGCCACAAAATTCACCAGTTCCGGAATAAGGAAAGGGTGACAATTTATCAATATGCAAATCGGTACACTGAGATATAGATATTAAATCAACTTATTTACTTCTTATAAATAGCTAAAATCCCAGGCATAGTAGAGGAAGATCTAAAACTTAGGCTTAAGCATTGAATATAAAAAAAAATAGTCAGAAATCGGTAAATCGTTACATAATTGTTTTGGAATGATGTTTTTGGAGAATCAAGAAGTTAGCGATTTATTTGTTTTCGAGTTGTTAGCTATTCAGCCGAATCACGAAGTTCTAGTTAAATTTTCAGATTATCTCATCGACACATATGGCACATGCCTCGATAGACCTGGATAAGACAACAAATGCCTGTGAATCTTTCCATAGTCATTTTGGTAGATCTTTTTATTTTGCGCATCAAAATACATATTTCCACTTTTTTAGATTTATTAACTCATATGCAAGGCGAAATCTGTCAACATCATAAGGTAAGTTTTATGGGAAGTAGGTTGGGTTTCATGATTTGGTCGAATTCAAAGGTAGGATTACTGCAGCTACCTGGTTTGTGGCCGAATTCAAGTATGCCCGTTTCGCTCATACGAGCATTATCGGACCTACAATATAATATATATAGAAAATAATTAGAATTTAAGAAATTTCCAGGGGGGGTCGAGTGACCCCCCTGACCCTCCCTGTGGGCGCCCGGGCAAGATGTATACTTGCCAGGCGTGTATAGGACTTGGACATGGAATGCAACAAGTTCCTTATTAGAATCCAGAATGGCTTTGCAGGTGCCTTCCAGCCCATTCCATTTTCAATACCATCCATAGTGAGCTGGCCGCCATTGACAGGCACACAATTCTGATTGGATAGTACAACTCTTTGGTTGGTTTTGAGCTTTTTCATTTCTGCTTCGAATTCGTGAAGTCGTGAGCTGAACCCCGACAGTGCTTGGTCCCCCGACAGTCCATATAGTTTAGACCAAAATATCTTAAGCAGCGTTCTTTCATTATGAGAACTCGGATCTCAGA